CAAATCAAGACGGGCTTGCCAGGTCAGGTCACTATCAAGGCTTTTTGCACTTTCACTATCAGCGTGGGAAGGCAAAGGCCTCTCCACCTGTTCGCTATCTACTTCGTTAACATTCTTTTCTTCTGAGAACCACTGTGTTAACTCTGTACTGTCTGTGGGAATGTTGGGGTTCAGTCTGATCCTGATCTGTGTGAACAGGATTCTCTGATAGTTTTTCAAACTGAGCAAGCTCTCCCTGACTCTGACAGTGTGGAATCTGTTGTTGATGCAGAGGTCAGTGGGAATGAAAACGAAACCCAGCAGTTAGAAGAGAATGTTTTGGAAGTTAGCCGTGATATCTCCCCACCTGGGCTTGATAATGAGGTCCGAAGAGAACAGATAGTGAGAGATAGATTTGTTTCCCAGTCTGTACGAAGGTCACAGCGTATCCAGCAGAAAGAGGCCCAAACAGAAAAGTCAAGGGGCGTTTCTAAGAATAGCTTCTTTGGTTTAAGAGCATCCCTGCCGGGTGCTTCTTTAGGTCAAGCAACGTTCGGGACTGTGGCTGTGCCTTGGCAGAATTCCTGTGTTCCATGGCCAGTAATCCCAGAGGCTTCTAGTTTCCAAGTTCATGGTTAGTAAAAGGCTAACAGACTCCTGGTTATTGTTTTGTGGCTTTTGAAGTTTTGCTCAAGTTCAGAGATCCTATGACTACTGTGTTTTTCTGTGGCTTTTTTACTCTGCATTTACCTTTCTTTTGTAACCAATTTTTCATCAATAAACAAGGATTGCTTTTCCTACAGTCCAGAGTGGTGGATTTAATCTTATGGTCTTGTTTCTTGAACTGGGATGCAACAGGGAACCTCAAAAGCAGGCCCAGGGATCCGAGGCACAGAAAAAGAGCCAAGAATTTGAATCCCATCATCCTCATCATCAGGGAACATCTCAGGCCCAGAATCACACTGAACCACAATACTCAGTCATACACCTTTCATACAATTTCATTCAAGCCACTCATCATATTTATCACACTTACACTTTGTTAGAAAAGAGCAAAACAAGATGTTTCCTTAATCAAAAATTAAACCAAATGTTTCTGATCTTATTATAATGCAGTGGTTCTCAACCTGTGGGTCCCAAGGTGTTTTTGCCTACAACTCCCAGAAATCCCAGCCAGTTTACCAGCTGTTAGGAACTCTGGGAGTTGAAGGCCAAAACATATGGGGACCTGCAGGTTGAGAACCACTGATTTAGTGGCTGTGCTAGAGGAACAGAAGAACAGAAGGTCTAGGCCAAAGGGACATTACAGCTCATGCCCATGAAAATAAACTGGTGGTATACTCATCTTGTAGAAAAATCCTAACTTTTTTCTGTAGAAGTAAAATCCTGCATGTTAGAGTGCCAGAAAGGCACAGATACAAGGGTTTCAAAATGCCACTTTTACAGCAGATGGCAATACATAACCACCTGCTGTAGGAAAGAAGACAGAACCTAAAGCTCACCAACAACATATGGAGAGTTTACATTGCTAACAATTGCAGTATGTTTTTATTAAAAATTTAAATATGCAATTTCTTCTAGAAGGCAGTTTTTTTATTCCAAATATGCCATACACCACATAACCTTTTACAGCTTATGGTTCCATGAAATTTCTGCTAGCTGCAATGTATTTTTTATTTCTGGAAAATTAAGACATTACATTAAATATGAGTTGAAAATTTCAAAAACAAGTGAGCACATTGCTACTGGCAAATAGGTATCTGGGGAAAATCAGCAATGCCATTTATAATAGGGAACTGCATATGCAGATAGGGAAACAGTGGGCATCTGACCACTTGATTTGAGGCAGGAATATTAAAAATATTATTGTCTGATTCAGAACTAAATTGGAAAAATGTGTTCTAAGTAATGGTGACCTTACATGAGTTTACAACTGTTTGGAAATCTGCAAATAAAAAACAATTGAGATGCATGTGCTTTTTAGCTAAAAAAGGTTTCCAGAAGAATTTGTCCTGCTATGAGTGATGATCATTATGTTTATTTCATGGCAGAGGAAAACCTCGAGGGCACCGGAGTGTGTTAAATAAAGTGAAAGTGTTTGTTGCTATTTTCAAGCAAGATTTCCTCTGGTAATGCAACACTTCAGTCAAGAAAACTAGAAAGGATATGATTCAATCATTCCCTTCTAGCAGAATATTGCAGCATCTTCCCACAAATCACATGAGAAGATGATGAAGTTGCAGAAGAAAGGTTGTGTTAATAAAAAATCACCCTTCTTCCACTTCCATTGATGGAAGCCTTCTGTGATAATGGCATTCTTCCATTGTCCTATTTTAAAAGAACACAACTGTATAGCTTTTTGGCATATACCCAGGTATTTGATACGTTCATTCTAAAAAATAAGAATAGGGGTCCTCAATTGTTTGAAGCAGAGGACCAGTTCATGGTCCCTCACACTGATGGGGGCCTGGACTATCACTTGAAAAAAAAATGAATGAATTCCTGTGGACAATGCATATATCTTACTTGTAGTGCAAAAAAACCCATAAAAGTACAATACAATATTTAAAATGAAGAACAATTTTAGCCAAAATAAACTTACTGGTATTTCAATGGGAAGTGTGGGCCTGCTTTTGACTGATGAGAAAGTCAAGTTAATTAGGATTGTTGTTGTTGTGTGCCTTCAAATAGTTTTAGACTTAGGTCAATCCTAAGTCTAAATTTTAGAGCGGGTGGTGGGTAAATGATCTTGGAGGGCCTCATCTGGCCTGTGGGCCTTAGTTTAGGGACCCCCAATTTAGATAGTATGGTATGACATAGGAATTCCAGTGCTATTGTGAAAGAACCCTTCACCTAGCAGGGCTTGCAGAAGTTATAAGTGTTTGAAAACATCTAGATTTTAAGGCCAGAGTTTATTTAGTACAGCTCTTCGACCCACACAAGTATGCTGCCAGAGAACTGATGGAGAGATAGTGGGTTGAAACTACATTTGTCTAAATGGAAACTGTGGCTGCATGAGGAAAACAAAGCCTGAATTTTCATATTCTTTGGTATGGACACCAGGGGAACACATTGCTAAAACCAGTGTGAAATAACTAATGGAATCATGTTAGAGAGTTATCTAGATTTTTTCCATTTATTTTGTAGCTAGCTGAATGCTACATTAAAACTGATTTTCTAACTCTGAAACTGCTAACAGTGCACCAAGGGTGTGGTGCATTCCAACATTATGAATCTTGCTTATTAAGGATATAAGCCTCCTTCTTATAAGCTCCTTTCCTTTACCTTCTCTCTCATTTTGTCTGCTCAGTACACAATTTCTCAGTACACAGTCTGGCATCATCCAGTCCTTCTGCCAACTCAATATTAGAAGGTGGGAACCAGTTCCTATCAACTTTCAACTGGAATGTAAACTTACAGTATCTTGCTCTTTATATTGGTTTGTTGACCTGCCTACATTTTTAGAGCCTCTGTGAAAGCCAACCTCAAAATACAGAGTACAGTTAGAATATTTCTTTTTTCTCCCCTTTAGGCTGAATGGGATTCAAGCCCTGGTCTCCAGAGCCATAGTTCAAGACTCAAACCACTGAACATTTGTTTGTATAGTCATCAACAAAGTAGAAAGCCTAACAAAAAAACACAAGTGCAACTATGTTATGCCTTCTGGCAACAAAAACTAAGAAATAAAGTCTAGCAATTTGCAATGAACAGAGACTTGAGGTCAAACACACTTTGGTTCACAAATATCATAATGGGCCTTTAGAGTTGTGTTAAACACAGAGGTCAGAATCTGGCTTTGAGAATGAAATGCAGAAAAAAAAATTGATGGGTGGATTCCACTCTTACATTTGAGTTAATGAAGGAAGCCTGAAAATAACACGACACCTCCAATATTCTGCTTTAGAAGATAATCAGTTAAGATATACTTTACAACTGGGAGCATATATCTTATGCTGTGTGTCTAGTTATGAAATAATACAGAACACAGTAGTGGGGAAATTATTTTAAAATGCTTTGTCTTTAAAAAAATTACTTTTTATATTTTATTGCTTTGTGGTTCTTTTCACACAATAATGTCACTTCGCCACATTAATTAAAATATTATTTTAAAATGTGTATTTTAAATGCATTTTACCTTTTATTTTATATCAATGTCAATCAGTATTGGTTCTGAAAATGTATGTGTCTGATGGCTTGCATTTGTTTCACTCTACTTTTAATGGAAAAAAGCTACCCCTAAATCTCAAACAGCTCAGAATAATGGCAACAGTTGATGGTACTGAAAGCTACTGAGAAGTACAGCAGAACTAACAAGGACACACTCCCTGTCTAGTCCTTTGTAAAGGTCATTTGCCAACGAAACTAAAGGCAAGCAATCTGGGGCCTGAAGCCAGACTGAAATCATTATAGGTAATCTGTCTCCTCCTAGAGACTCTCTGGAATTGATAAACCACCATCTGCTCAAGTGGCTTGCTTAGAAACAAAATATTGGACGTTGGCTGGAAATCATCCTGTCATGTGGAACTCAAGGTGTTCTTCTTCGGGCAAGCCAGAGACCAATTAAAGAGAGAAAGAGCTCTCTTTAATTGCTCCTTTCATGCCCCAACCAATCCTACTACAACCTTTTTTTATAAGCCAGGAAGGGGAATAGTCTAGAACCAATGTCTGAGTGATTCAACAGGATTCGTGTTAATCGAACAACATTCCACAAGCAAACAGCCCTTGGTAAAATTCAAATTGGCCACTGAATAAAATATGAAGTAGAAAATGTTTACTTCTATTTCCACATAATATTTGCTCAAAAAGCCTCATTTTTCTTTCTAACCATGTTTCAAATACCAGGAGAGGGGGAGGGAGATACATCGAAATGAATATGTTTCACAAGAGGGAAAGTCAGGCAGCATGAATTATTTAGATAGGCACATGGCTTGACATATAAAATATGCATTTCTCTGAAAAATGAATGATGATAGGACATTTGTAAAGACTGATAATCAAATTACCCATAATAATAAACCTACCAGTGTTTGCTGCCTTGACTGTTTGCAGTTCCTCTGTTGGTAATTTCGGAAAGGACTGAACGCCATCTGTCTTCTGCATTAGGTTGCTTTGTCGATGCTGCTGCTGTTCTCTATCTTCAGCAACAAATACAATTACACCTAAAATAAATAGTTACCAGATGTTCTATTTACCAAGACATTAGTTTCAAAAGATTGACTGTTACCCTCATGCCAATGTTCATACAAACTTGCATATCATCGTTTTTTTAAAAAAACTTCAAATTGACAGCATATATTTTATTTTTGTATTGTCGAAGGCTTTTCATGGCTGGAATTACTGGGTTGCTGTGGGTTTTTCAGGCTATATGGCCATATTCTAGAAGCATTCTCTCCTGACGTTTCACCTGCATCTATGGCAAGCATCCTCAGAGGTTGTATTTCATTTTTGTTAGATCCAGTAAGGAAGATTATAGATTCAATGATGTTGGTTTATATAAATATTGCTCTTGCATTGGAGGATTCCTATTCAATAATACTGTTAAATAACTTCTTAAAGGCAACATTTTCTTCTGGGTTAATTTCAGGGAAGAAATAAATCTGGTCTAATGGAGGTATATCACAAATTATCTCACTTGTGGTTATAAATTTGTTGACTGACTGTATGTATGTGGGTTTACCCACCCACTCCAGACAATCAGTTCTGCTAACTATGTTAATTATGGTCAATGATGACCTCATTTTCCAACTCAGTAGTATTTTTTACTGACATAAGATTCAATAATTCTAGAAAAGAGTTGATGGATACAAGGGTTAGTGCTCCCAAATTTTGAAACTCCCTCCCTAAGGAGGCTAAGAAGGCTGCCCCTTTTCCCTGCTTTCACCAGCAAAAGAAAATCTCATTTTTTCTAATAGGTTTTCAGAAATTGATTGCAAGAATTTTTAATTGTGTGTTTTTGTTATCTTGAGGTCTTGTTTTTTAATATATTTCAAATGAATTCTATATATTATTTTAATTGCTTTTTAAAAATTATGTAGAAAGGGGAGGAGGGGATTTTTGCTACAATTATTTGAAAAATAATGTTAGCATTGTAATTTTTTGGGGAGGGGATTTTCTTTTATTTATTTATTTTGCTAGAGATTCAGTAGCCCATGTAGTGGTTTCCTGTGTTATTTAAGAAATGGCTTGTCTCTTTTACTGTAACTAATGCTTTGACCAAGATAGCAGAAAAAATTATTAACAGTGAGCATCTCTTTTTGTCTGTCTCTATCCCACCTGGTCTTGAAGAAGAACCATTCCTTTGGTTTGTTCTCAAAAGCAGCCTGGCATAAAGGACAACTTTTAAGGAAATAAAAGCTGCTGATTACATGTTTTAAATAGTTTTTATATGTTTTTATATTGTTATGCTGCTTGTTTTATTTGTAATTTTTATTCATGTATGCCATCGAAGGGTTGCCAATCTGTAACCCACCTTGAGTCACCTTAGGGCTGAGAAAAACAGGCTATAAATGCCGTAAATAAATAAAGACATAATAAGGAAATACTCCAAGGATAAGCAATGAGTTGAAAAAAGCCAGGAAAGTGAAGATTCACACCATCTTCACTTTAGAACTGGAATGTTATGAAGCCCAATTCCTCAGGAGGTATATTATCTAAGAAAAAGGCTTTTCTAATTAATGCATTAGAGAAACTGAGGCTAGAGTTCAGATAAATTCATCAGTGGTTAACTGATGGTGAACACACTGGGTAATTGTCTCATAATTTCTTTTTTGAAAAATCGTACCTTTAAATTCGCCACGTTTCCAGGGTGATATATTCAGAGTATAAGCAGCAGTGTCCCCTGGTTCTACAGTGAGTGTTGAGTCACCACCAACTATCAGAAGATCTGAAGACACCTAATATGACAAAAGAAGAAAAATACCAAAGGTTCTCAAATGCAACAAAGCTATGAATGTACAGAAGGTAGCTTAAAAATGAGTTCAAGCACGAATATTAATAAGTTTCTCGTAATCTTCCCTACAGTGCTTAATTAACTAGAGAAGAAAGAGAACACTTTCTCCTTTGCCCTTTGAAATATATCAGAGTTTAATTTTAGTACACTTAATCAGGATAAGCTACATTAATTCCTTAAAATACATCTCTTGACCAACATCCTGCCACTAAAAGTTCCAAATCCAGAACTTCCGCTTTGTGTAAAGATCATTAAGTCATGCATTAAGTGCAAAGCACAGGGAAGATAAGATGTACCAAGACATTTTTAAAAGATATTTCTTAGCCATGTTGGAATCTAACAAATTACTTTAATTAATATTTTACATGGAAAAGAGCCAATCTGCAAGAGTGCTACTTCAGATTTCTTTTATAACAATGTAGTTGACCTTAGTATTCTAAGCAATTACTATACAAAGTGAGAAAAGTGTGATTCATAGATTGGATGTACCCACTTCCTCCTAAGGCCATTTTTCTCCATACATCTCCAAAAACTTGTTTTTGCTTATTCAATTGCCCAATAGTTCCCTTAGGTCTCTAGGTGATGCTCATGGCTACATTCTCTCACCATTTTAGGCTTGTATTGATCTCTTTTCAAAACAGAAAGTGACTGAACCAAGTGCATTCATTTCCTTGATTGAAAGAAAAGATTGGTAACGTGATTTTAAAATGTAAAGGGAAACTTAAAATGCCTCAAACTGTGATGAAATTGCTAACATCCCATGCATCCTGAAACAGAAATACCTCCCCCCCCCATTTGCAAAGAAAATGTGGCCCTATAGAGCCTGGGGGTGGGCAATGTACTCCCCCACTCTTACACACACATACACACTCCACACATTTAAAATGGTAAAATCAGCTTTCAGATAGGATATATTGTTTCCATAACATACTTCAAAGGTTGGAATTAGATTTAGAGCAGCTTCAACTGGATTAAAATAAAAACTATGTTCACATACCAGTACATTCAATGGGTTCCCAGTTTCTGGAGCTTGCATAATCAAGTTCCAGAATCCAGGAACACTTCCAAGAATGGGTGATAGTCATACAGTTTTCCCAATTTAAATAGCAAAGAGCAAAGAGCTGCATGTTCAAAAACACTAAATCTCTAACTCAGTAGTTCTCGTGTGGGTCCCCAGGTGTTTTGGCTTACAACTCCCAGAAATCCTAGTCAGTTTACCATCTGTTAGGATTTCTGGGAGTTGAAGGCCAAAACATCTGGAGACCCACAGGTTGCGATCCAGTACTCTAACTCTTTTAAATATAATTTGCCTTTATACGAACAATGTGAATTAGGCCATAATAATGAGACAATGAAAACAGATATTTATGTGAAAAAGCCTTGCTGCTTGAGAGACATTCATTTTCTAACCAACTTGTTGAATCTGGGACTACTTTTATTCTTGATTTACAGTCAAGCTAAGCCAAAATGTTTCTCTCTATATAGATAGATAAAAGGGTTGTGCAATTCGGTTCCATGCACAGCTCTAATAGATATGGACTTCACCATGTCATACAAGAATTTTTAAAGTGATGAGAGTGTTTTTAATAATAAAATTATAAAATAATCCCAAATTCCGAGTTTACCAAAAATCCTAGATTAACATGTGGAGAAATTCAACTATGTAAAGATCTTATGGCCCAATTTCAAGATCATTTTAGAGAGGGCTCAACCAACCCACCCCTCATTCCATGTTAGTATTGGACTTTGATTTAATGTTTCTGTCTCTTAACAATACAATTAGCAGTGCTAGGATTTTTTTTCAGCAACAAAGCTCTCTTGCCACCAATTTTACTGTCATTTATGAACAGCACAGTTTAGACAATGCTGTAACCTTGGTTTCTCGTATTAGATAGTGTTGTATTAATTCCATTAGATGTATTCTATAACAATAAATAGCTTGCTATGTGACTCCCAGTAGTTTCCATTTTATGGAGGCTCTAAAGTTTTTATTGCAAGTACTGTTCAGAGGAAGCTTCCCATTGCCTTACTCTGAGGCAGAAAGGCTGTGACTTGCATAAGGTCACCTGGATTTCAACAGCCAAACATAAATTTGAACCCTCCTCTCCAGAATCATAGGCCAATCCTCAACCCACCACATTCATGCTGGCTCTAAATATATATGGACCTAAAATAGTAATTATATCTAGAAATCACTAGCTTGCACCTTGAAACTGTCTTAATTTCTTCTTGAATTGGAAAAATGGAAATTCCCTACACTGCTGACCAATTTGGTTTAGACATAAAATTTATAATCACATTAGAGAGTATGATTCATCTTGCACATATAAAGGTATTACATTTCCATCTCTGAGTGCATTTTTCAGGCAGTCAAGTTTATCTATTGTACCAAAACTAAAAAAAAGAAATTGTGGAACTATAAGGACTGAGAAATTTTGACACAAATTTGGTGAGCCAGAACTCACATTATCAGGTATGTGAAGTGATCCCCCATTTTGGTGCTGATGGTGAAAATATATGTTAATTTTAAGCATTTTGTTTTACAGGATGATATTTGATTTAATATGCCTTTTTTACTATTTATGTATGTTCTCTACTGCTACGTGATATTTATGTCCCTACTTTGAAATATGAATAAAATACTTTCTAAGAATTCTATTGCATTTAAATCTGCCAAGGATATCAGAATGGCTACTACTAATCAAAGAAGCAGTAGTACCAAGTCAGATATATAGAAGATGCATGTGATTCAATAGATGGCTTAATGGCTGCAAAGGATTTAGAAAAAAATAATGTGAACAAAATAAAGGACCCAACTCTAGGAAGGTTGGGAAAATCATTCTCATTCAATATTATGTCATTTAGTATCAGCTATACTTGTAATCCTTGGGGAGATAAAGTGGGCTAATAGTAATAACAACAACAACAACAACAACAACAACAACAACAACAACAACAACAGACTACAAGCAGAGGCATAACACCGTTGCTCAGATGATCCATTGGAACTTGTGCCACAAATACAATCTGCCTGCAACAAAGAACTGGTGGGATCACAAGCCGGAAAAAGTTACAGAGAATGAACATGCCAAACTCCTCTGGGACTTCCGAATTCAGACAGACAGAGTTCTGGAGCACAACACTCCTGACCTCACAATCATGTTAAAAAACAAAGTATGGATCATCGCTGTCGCAATCCCAGGTGACAGCAGGATTGCAGAGAAACAGCTGACACTATATGAGGATTTAAAGATCAAACTGCAAAGACTCTGGCACAATCCAGTCAAGGTGGTCCCAGTGGTGATCGACACACTGGGTGCAATGCCTAAAGACCTTGGCCTGCACTTAAACACAATCGGTGCTGAAAAAATTACCATCTGCCAGTTGCAGAAGGCCACCTTACTGGGATCTGCATGCATTATTCGCCGATACATTATTCGCCAAGAGCAGCGGCTGACAACAGAGAACCTTCTCCTCATCACTAGTATCAGCTGTGCACAGAGGCAGAGACAAATGTATTCCAAGAAATTTTAAAGTACTTTATGCATATTATTCTACAATGTTTTCTAAAACATTAAAATCTGAAATCCAACTAAAGCATTATCAACATCTGAATTGGACAAATTGAACTTGGAGTTATATTTAGCAACTGCTTTTTACATTCAAAAGAAAAAGAGCACCTTTAACATGACTACTGTTTCTCAATACTGACTGAGCATAAAAACCAGACATCACTGCGGTCCTCCATCTGTTTGAGCCTCCCAACTCACAGAAGCTTGTTCAATAGGTAGGAATTCTGGGAACTGGAGGCCCAAACATCTAGGGACTGGAGTTTGAAGATGCCTGGTATAAACCATGATAGATCAGATCAGGTGTGGAAGCAATACAGTTCCCACACATTGCCCATAACATGCAAAAACTACTTGATTGTCACAGTATGAAGTACACTAAATGTTGATGAACAAAACAGTGGGTCCTCAGTATTTGCAGGCTGGGATCCATGGATTTAATGAGCCGAATTAAAGAAGAATGAAGAATTAAAATTATGAAGAATTAAAATTATTATAATTATAATTATTCTTGTACCCCGTCTCCATCTCCCCAAAGAGACTCCGGGTGGCTTATATATGGCACAAAGTGCCTAAAACAGAGCATAAAATAAACATAAAATAAACATAAAATAAACGCAGAACAATGCCCAGTAGCCTATGGTGTGGCAACTACCATAAGACATGGCCAGACTATAAACAAAACAAGGGAATGGGATAGTGCAAATTGTAGCTAAGGAACAAGGACATGGGATGAAGTGCAGCGCTGTACCATTGATTGCGGAGCATTGGGGCAAGACGTTCCCAAAGGTTTGTTTAAACATCCAAGTCTTTAGCTTGGCCCCAGCACAAGGCATGCATTCTTTCTCCTTCAGCTGTGGTACTTCTCAGCTTGACTACAGTCAACTGCAGGTACACACTTTAAATTTTAAATAGCCACTACAGCATGCATATTTCTGGTATTTTCAGGGAGTCCTGGAACCAACCTTCCATGGATACTGAGGACCAACTATAAGAGCCACCTCTTTTTAGAAGAGAATTGTTAGAACTACTATAAGGGGAGACATAACACAGAAGCAATTTCAAATAGATAATCTGTCAAATAAGTCTTCCCCTCCCAAAATCAGACAGTTACTTTATGACTGACACAAAACTCTACAGAAGGTAAGCACTTATGCCTACAACTGTTTATGGAAAAAAGGGTCATATAATTTCTAATAATAATAATAATAATAATTTTATTTTTATGCCCCATAACCATCTCCCCAAAGGGACCCGGGGCTGCTTACAAGGGATCAAGCCTGAATACAGATTAAAAACAAAACACAATAAATCAATCAAATAAAAACAAACACAATTACAAAACATCATCATAAAACAATCTTATGGCTGAGAT